GTTCTTATCTATTCGCTTCTTTTTATACCATCGTTTGTTCGAATGTCTGTTTCATTCCTGATGATGCCAACTGAAAGCTGGCGAAAGCTCGAATAAAGTATTTTCAAGACTGAAAGTCATGTTATTCATAGCAGTTCTATATTCGATTTACAAATACTCGATGACTTGTTTGTTTACTCTCGTCCAACACGCTTACAGTGTTCTCTAGGTTTGAAACAAAAATAATCGTAGAATACATCAGCTTTAAACTAAGTTGCCAAATTTTTTATAGGTTAGATATAAGGTGTCAAGAAGTTGCAGCCTTCATGATACTGCTTCAAACTTAGAATGGAACATTCAGAAAGTGAATCTTAAGCAACAAATTCAAAACATTTGGATAATGTTGACTTGAAAACAATACATGTTTCCGCAATTTTCTTTTACAAGCACTTTAACAAGTACGTGTAAAGTGAAAAGTCAAGTATTTTTCATATTAGGCAAGTACTGGCAAGTAAGTTTACTTCCACGAAAAAGACAAGTACTGGCTTCATTACGCATGCGAACTATTGTTCAAGAACTTTCACAACAGCTACAGTTACAAGATCAAGATCTTCGTGCAAAAAATGATTCGAAAGTTTCTTTATTAATAGTTTGTGTAGATAAAGGATCTGTCATTTTATACGCACAGGATGGACAATAAAAGACAAAGTACGAAAATATTAAGTAAAAAATACGAGAGTAACAAAATATTACAATATGCACAGAAAAGTTTTGTTGAAGAAAGTGAGTATTTATTTTTTGTCCAAAAACTTATTTCTGATCGTTATTTTTGATCAGATCCACTTTAGATTCTGAATGAATTATTGTCGAGTTCGACTTGCGTGTACTTAACCTATACAGATCTTCAACATTCACGCTTGGTAACTGATGTACTACCTTGGATACCATTTTGAGACGTTTGATTGTCTCTCTATCAGCTCGAATGTCTGTTGTAGATAACGTCTTAACAATAATAACATTTTTCCAAACAAAGTATAGAGAAGTTGGGTGTGATGTGTATTATGTGCATCAATAATCGGCCAAATAAACTTAGTCATATTTACTACAACTTATTTATTTATTACTAACAATAAATAATATTAATGGTAGTCGCGTATTACATGTATTACAACAAAATATTTGTTAAGATTATTACCTACAATATGTGATTGGATAAATACATGTATATCAACTGAACAAGCCTGCATCGTCATATCTGGTGCAAAATTTAACAAAAATTTAAGTAAAAGATGTGCAAAATGCATTATAGCATCACTCATTATTTTTAATACAACAACTAGTTTACATGAACCATTTCACCGTCAAATAATCAATGATATTAATGGTCGTACATGATGTGTACAACGTTTTGAAAACACAGACATAAAAATATATAATTCGTCGATAAGTATCGTGAGTTATATTGCACCGTTTACATTTATAATACATAGGCATAAGCTTGATAAATATTTTCTGCACAAGCCAAGAAAATTTTCGTCGCGAGAAAATGAGAACAACACATTACTAAGAAATGACATAGCAACTCAAAACTGTACATAGTAGTACAGCAATAAATACTGTTCTTTTTAACAGAATAACACTCAACAGGCCGGAAATAAACACGGCACATAGACGTTTACATTTGCGTTCGTCGAATATCAGATGAAGTTAAATCTTATTTCATATTAGAACGTTTACTACATCAGTTGCAACCATCCCGTAATGGAACACATAAAATAATTGGTCGTTTATTACCTCGATCATTACCATATTTAAACGGATCTTATCAAATTGAAATAACAATTCCTTACAGCTTTCCATTTCGATGCCCAATAGTAAAAATGTTTTACGTGCAATAAATTTACGTGCAAAAAATGCCTCTCAACCTAAAAAATCAATTAATTTTGAATTTTCATTAATTAATAACTCGGTCAATACTGCACCAAAATGTTTTTTCTCACACAGGCATAATGTTGAAGGTATTCTCTACAAACTGGCAAAGTTTGAAGGTATGTTTAAGAGGGAACACTCTCCCTTAATAATGTACGATTCAGTGCATAGTTTGAAACTGTCATATCTTATGAACCATCCATCGTACAGACTCATGAGACCTGTCAGTTTTTTCTCACTTAAAATACTCACCAATTCTGATGTACTAAACATTTAATAATTTCAATGATATCATTGGATAAACTTCGCTTCTGAGTATATATGGTGGCAAAATCTTTCTTCTATCTTATGTGGGTACGGAGAAAAGTTATTTTTATTTTTATAGACTACTCAAAATTTTCAGTCTTTTTGAAGCGATCCTTACTTTTAAAATGCATATAACCCTTGAACAAAACATTTGTTTGAGTCGGGACTTGCATGTTATTCCTGTCTAGTCTAGATCTATATACTATGTGCGTTTCATCAAAATCGGTGATAGTCGTAGAACAAAGTTCTGCTGTGGTCTTGTATGAATTTAGTCTGGTTGTTCTTGTCGTGAATTTTCGTCAAGAAATGTTTTATTTGTGAAACTAACAAATTATACATCATTCGATGTAGCTTTTCACGCTGATTCTGAATATCACTTGATTTCCCACTGTACGTGAGCGTTACAACAAAGACCTGGAGTGAGTGAAACTTGACAGTATGCTGAAGCCGAGAAATTCGGGCATATTCACAATGAGGGGAATGCCGACTAGAGATCAGCGGGACCAGTCTCGTTTTCAAGACTGAAGCAAACTTTCGGGATAGAATTGGGACTGAGGTTGAGGTCGAGAGCCAGAGCACATCTTAAAGTTGTTATTATCAAAACAAGAGCAAATGTTTATTGTTGGATTCCCAACATAATCATGTTCCTAGTGTGCATGTTTCGTAAAGTAAAGAAGAAAATATCACAACTCGCGATCAGCAGAACCAATACCGCTCTTCAAATATCAGGGTGGGAGTCAAGTTTTGGAACATGACCGGGATCTGGACTAGAGCCAGAATCAAAAGAAGCACTTTGCAGATGTTCAGTACAGATAAGTTATGGACACACATCTGTATTCCACGTCAGTTGAATGAACTCACATTGTCGATGGAACCAATAAAGTGAGAGTATATAGACCCAGTCTCATATTTCAATAGATTACGTAAACTTTGAGAGATCTCCTCCCCTCCCTAGAATAACTAAGCGTAATAATTTCCCAACTTCCTTCTCCCCTACAGTTGCTTACATAATACTTGAATGGGCCCTTTACAGAAAAATGTTTTGTTAACATTTCAAAACAATTTAATATAAGTTTATTTTTCATTCTTGCATGTTCTAAACAATCATTAATTACACTCGGATCATTTTTTAAACATTTTTCTTCGAATTTAATTGTTTCCCTTATATTTTCCAGATTACTTGAATCAACTTCTAACGATTGTAAAATTTTAAATGCTTCTTGTCTTTCTCTCGGATTTCATTTTCAATCAATGTCTTATGCATAAATTCCAATAAATTTGAATTATTTACAATTTTAAACTTTTTAGACAACTTTAAAACAATTTCTGTTTTCTCGTAGGAAATTCGCGATAAAACAGTTTGTAATAATCGTACAATTTCTTCTATTTTCTCTTCACAATTAGATAAAAGTATTTTATTAAAATTAAATATTTTAACAATAGCTAAAGCTACTTGATTGTTTTCTGTTATTTTGCCTATTTCTAAAATTCTATCAATTATTTCTTGTGAAAATGAAAACTCTTTTTCATCAATAGTTAATTCAATTTTTTCTCCTAGTAAAATAATTAAATCATTAAAATTTAATTCTTTACCAATTTCAGATACTCTTGAACAATAATCAAGTTTTTCTCGAATATCACTGATCTCATTATTCATTCTAATTGATTGTTCTACTACATTATTTTTTTCATTTAAAATTTTTAATTCATTTTTGATGTTTTTCTAATATTTATTGTTCATTCCTATTACCAAATAATTTCATAAATTCATCAATATCATTCAGCTTTATTTCATCTGAATTTATTTTGTTTATATTAACTAACAAATTCCATTCGATCTCTTATAGTCAAATTCAAACAACCTTGAACATTTTTATCTCGACTATTTTCATGTAATTTCTTATTAAATTCATCAATGTTTTATCACGATATTTATTTTTATTTTCTATTAAATATTTGGATACATTTCTTTTTACTTCTTCATTAAATTCTTGTCCTCTCTCTTTAGATATGGCCATAAAACGAATTACTTCTTTTGTACAATCAACTTTATCATTACCCGTTGGTAGAAAAATTTCTACTTCCCAAGATACTACTTAACATTTTTAATTGAACCTGTTCTGGTAGTTTATATTCACTTTCACTATCAAGAATAGGTTTCAATGAAGATAGAATTTTTATCAATGTTGACTTTACTCTTATTTTCATATTTAAACCTTGTTCGACAATTAACTTTTCAAATTTAATCGATTGATTATTTTTTTGAAAAAATTTTAATTCTTGAATGTTTTTTTCAATTTCTTGCTTTTCACTTTTTAAAAAATCAATTAAAATTTCAATATGACTTAATGCAATTTCAATATTATTCTAACACAAATACAAGATTCATCTTGATTATTACATTCGAAGCAAAAATCAGATTTCAACAGCAGAAAAAAAACCTTTTTCATTCACTACAAATCCTGGAGAATAAGTGTACAATTTCGTCCTTGCTAGTAGGGCACACTTTTCTCCGTGAAAAGTGTTTGAACGTTCCGACACTCCGACGACACTAAAGAATAACAGCTGACAGAACTTCAGAAGAACAGAAAATTATGAATAGTCAGGTGAGTGCTGAACTCCTTTTGCCCTTTACAACCCCAAATCTGCATATTGCCTTTATCAGCCGTAAAGAATAAAACATGACAAAACTTTAGAAAAACACAAAATTGTGAATACTGTCACTCAGGCGAATTCGGACCTCTATTTGCAGGTTCCGACACTCAATCTGCATATTTTGTTTATTAGCCAAAAAGAATTAAAGGACACAGATCCTGGCAAGAACGGAAAGTTATGAATACTGTCGGTCAGGTGAATTCGGACCTGTATTTCCACGTTCCGACACTCAATCTGCAGGTTTCCTTTATCAGACGTAAAGAATGAAGCATGAGAAAACTTTAGAAAAACACAAAATTATGAGTACTCTCGGAGAGGTGAATTCAAATCTCTATTTAAAGCACAAAAAAGGTTTCATATATGGTTATATTACCTGATTCAAAGATATATTGTACATGATAACTTAGCTTATTTGCTGTACGTATGTCATTTAAAATATATTTAATAAATAGAGCTATGAGTATTGATAATGAAACAGGTAAAACCAAACATTTTGTTCGATTTATCATATGAACAAATGCCTTTTTTACTTTCTTTTTCTTCAATAGCGCGCTGGTCATTTCGGTTTTGTGGTATAAAAATTATTATAACTCTACTTGAAGAGCACTCAACGTAGTTCATTCGTCTTTAAAACAAGAAAAAATAGGTAGAAAAATAATGACTTTTCTATATCTGTACTCCTTTGCCGAACATACTGATCATGGACGTTCATTGTTTCTGATAGTAGAACATATATCAGTCTACAGATCGAGAGAAAAGAAATGGTTGATGATGAAGGAAATTAAGCATCCATGACTAACTGACCACAATATGATCAAAAAATACTTTTTCATTCACTACAAATGCTATGATGCGAAGCCCTGGGGAGCTGCTTGGAGCCACGCAGATCCACGCGCGAACCCGGAGCCACGGATCCGCTTTTCCCTCCTTGCATTGAGTACTCTCACCTTTGTACATACAATACACGTAAAGGTCTTATCTAAAGTGATAATGGTGTCGTGTTTTCTATGGTTCTTGATATTTCATCATTATTTCATGCTATAACGAAAGTTTTCTGGCTATTTTGCACTTTTCTGCTTTGGTTTTTCTCTTCAGCTAAAAATACTTTTCTGTGCTGGTCTATGGCGACTTATATTAGATAAAAATAAAAAAGTATACATTGATCAACTAGACAGTGATCGAACGATTTGCTTTTCAACATTTATGAATAATTTATTATTAGAATCGTGGAATGATAATTTAGATTTTGTCAATGTTGATCATTAGATAAATTTATTGAATTTATTAACAAAAGTCTGACATTTATGTTGAGTTTTATTTTGACCTCTATTATTATAGAGTCGAAGATCCTCCATTGTATCCATTAACAACAATAGGATCATTTGAAAATAATGTGTATCTTACACAACGAAATATATCATTAAACTATAAAGATAATCACTTATTTCATTATTAGAAGTTGATGATTGTGGAATGACTGTGGTAAAAGAAAGCAGACTGTTTATCTTATACTTTACTTTTTCAAAAGGAAAAGGACATATCGGCCTGACCAGCTAACGGTCACATTCGAATCAGAAGGTTCGAAAAATTTTCTTTATCCTTAGCAAATCTTCAAGTATATCATCTAATGCAGTCTTTGACGTTAATTCCAAATATCTAGTGAAAATTTTGAAAAAGTCAGATTTGGACCATCAAAAGTGAAATTCAATTTTCTGATCTAGTGAAAATTTAATTTTTTTAAGCTTTTACTTGGTTTTGCAGGCAAAGGATTAAAGCCGAGTTTTCTAGAGACCAAGGCTCAAATGGGCCCTTTTTTGGCTCAAATTCTTTTTCACTATACTTCAAGGTACAGAACCCGAGACTGTTTTATTCGAAGGAGACCTGTTTACCTTCGGATGAGGAGAAGAGCTTTTTTTATTCCAGCTTTCTTTAATTTTGGGAAGCGTCGAAACCTCGAAAACCTTAAAATATCATCAGAGGTGTTCCAGACAGACACAGTTTTCTACAGAGCTAGAGCCTAATCAACAAAATTCCTTCTCGTCATCCGAAGGAGTATCGAGTGCCCCACTAAAATAAAAAAAGCAGCTCTCTATAATGAACTATATTTGAAAAAAATTTGCGCCACCTTTGATCATTAGTACAAAAATCGGTTTTGAGAAAACGCTAACTCTTTGTACGCAAGACACGCTAATTAGCGGTTTTAAATAACTAATAAAGATAGAGATCTGGAGTTTTCAGCAATCGAAAGAAAACAGTTTTTCCTATGTTGTCTTAAGCAAAATCCTTTTCGAAATTATGTGAGTTATGAATTTTTTTAATTTTACTCAAAAATAGGCAAAAATGAGTTAATTCACCTCATATAGGTTTTCACTAATTTTTTGAGAAATAAATATTGCCAGAGATTCAGCGTGATTGATTACCTATGTTTCCATTCGTTTTTGGAATTACCACACCTAAGGAAATATTGATTCTGGAACTCTCAAGCTCCAATGCCATAGCTGAACCAGGAAAAATTAAGAGTTCGCTTGGTTCCCATTTTGGAGAGGACATTTTAGACTATATATCTATGGAAGAAAACTGGTAGATTGCTATCTCAGTACTCGGAGATTCAAACTGGATTTCTAAAGATCTCCTAGAAAATCGATCTTTCTAATATTTTTTGAAAAGGATTTTGCTTATGAAAACATAGGCAAAACTGTTTTCTTTGATTACTGAAAACCCCAGATCTCTATCTTTATTAGTTATTTAAAAAGCGCTAATTAGCGTGTCTCGTGTACAAAGAGGTAATAATAGACTCAGACACCTACAGAATTTTCTAAAAAATTCCTTAAAAGTCTTCGAAATTCAAAAATATTTTTATATATTTGTGAAGTAGACATCTAAGGCGACATGCCGGTATACTTCTCTCAAAACTCATTTTTTTTGACGAAAATCGATTAACCACGTTTTAAATGATGATTTTTTTCTGAATTTTTAGCACAATAATAAATATATCAACATTTTAAAGTAGAAATGGAATTGCATAATACCAACTTGAATGATATTATAGGGTTTCATTCTTACTAGTTAAAATGTCTCAATGTGTAACGAAGATTGAATTGTATCTTATTTTTGGTTGTTATCATACAATAAATAAATAATGGGTGGCGCAGAAAGAATTGCGCTCTCAGTATTTGCGTTAGATCCGATCGAGCTGAAATTTCTGCCAAAAGATTCCCCGTTCAATTCTCTACAAAATGGTATATAAACGATAAGTCGCAATTTTGCGACGTTATTTCGGCTGAACAAAATGTGATGTGCCTCGAAAACGTGAAAAATGTAATCGTTGTTTGATAACTTTTCGAAGTTTGAAATCTATGCTAAAAGATGGATACAAACCAGATTCTAAGCTATTTTCCTACACATTCAGATGTTCTCTATCTGATGGCACAAAATTCGCTTCCCTTTCTTGTGTTACCCTGGTAAAAATGGCTAACTAATTACTTGCCGTCATTAAATCAGCAAAATCTCATTGTTATCGTGCCGATTGGTTTTCAGAACAAATTAAAAAGATTTGGATGTGTAGGCCAAAATGTTCTATTTCAAATGACATCTGAGCGAGTCTGATTGGCTTACTTTTGTCCGAAATATGATCAATCTGCGAATAGTCCTAACACGTAAATCGAAAAAGCTGACGATGGGGCTATAAGCAAAACAATGGCTGAAAGCGCAAAATAAAGAGAAGAAATTCGCCTTTATGGCCAATCAATAGAGAATTTCAAGGGCTACAATTCTGCATATTCGGCTTTGATATAACTAAAAGATTTCATTTACTATTGGCGAAATCCCTTTTTATAAAGTTACATTTTTCACATTTTCGAGGCACATCACATTTTGTTCAGCCAAAACAATGTCACAAAATTGCGGCTTATCGTTTATATATCATTTTGTAGAGAATTTAACGGGGAATGTTTTGACAAAAACGCCAGCTCGATCAGATCTAACGACGAGGAGAAATTTCGAAAATACTGAGAGCGCAATTCTTTCTGCGCCACCCGTTATATTATTCCTCTGCACACAAATATAATACAAAACTTAAATAAAAAGAATATGATTATGATTTTTATCATTAATTAAAAATAAACATAATTATATTTACATCAAGATGAAAATTTCCAGTTTTCATCGGACGTTCTATCCATGAAACAGATTGTTTTAAATTTGAACATAATGCAATAAATGACTGTCAAGGACAAAATTATTGTCTCAGTGAAGAACGATGTTTTTAAGATAAAAATATATGTCGAAAGATTGTTTTTATGATTCAATGTATCAGTTGACAACATCCAGTTATTATTTATCACTTGCTTCAATTATTGGTTATCATATAGTTTATATTTAGATAAAGATTTAAATCTTCTGAAGATGATCAATGAATGGGAACATGGTTTGTACCCATTATACATACACCACAACAGTAGCCACAATCCCACAAAAGGTTCAACATTCGTTTAAGTAATGGTGGTATCCTTTTTTTTATAGATCATAAAAATCACAATTTATTGTCATTCGTAGAACGACTGTATAGAAAAAATGGCTATGTGATACAACAATTGGCCTAACAGTTTTATAAGGTTTGCCATCTGGCGAAGCTATTGCATTCGATTGTCATAAAACATGGTAAATAGCCCATGGTAAAAAATGTCTTTTGCCGTTTGTTAACTAGCAGCATGTACTCTGTTTATAGTGTGAAGTAAAGGTTCAGTTTTCAGTTGATCCTCTCGAAAAGCGAGTAAAGTAATAACGGTTTTCTGCATGATTAGGAAGCAGTCTCGTCATTGTTTCTTTTTAGCTTCAACTAGCTGCTACTGCAAGAATGGGAAAGGAGATGCAAAAGTTTGTTAGCTCCAAATGCGCAAAATATTCAGGAGGCACAAAAATGACTATGGATGAGAAGAAAATAGAATCTTTTACAAATTTTCAGAGTTTTTCGAAGAAAAATAAATGTTTTTTAAATGAAATATGGCTTTTCTACATAAATAAGGTGTCTTTGAGATAGTCTGAAGTAAACAAAACTGAGCACAAAGCAACCTCGAAGGAGACTTGATTAGATACTAACCGTTTGGGATGGATCAGATACCGTCTATACACACATTTTGCTTATATGACTATTGCATACCTTAGACGGTGAGAGTGTTTTTGTTCTGATAGAAAAGACTGTCAATTTCCAAAATTTGTTCATGAATACAGAACTCAACCATTTTATAGGAAAGCATGTAGATTGTTTAAATTTTTTGACAAGCGGCTCGAGAATACATGGTTATCACGTGTCTTTATGTGTCTGGCGACCATTTCGAAATCTTTACCTTTTCTTTTGGTTAGAGTCAAGTAGGAGTCGTTTTTCTTTTAGTTCATTTTGTATTCTTGGCTATATCATTGACCTTCATTTATTGTTGTTAACTTTAACAACAATTTAATTATCATACATTATCTCTCATGATGATGCTTGTATGTATCCAGTGATTATTCTCTTACTTTGATTTTACACCTATTTCTACAATAAATGTAATCTTTTTGTTATCGTATTATTAACCATACTATTTATGCTGTGTTTTCTTGGAGCTATTTTTGCTTTTTTAACATGTAAGAAGGATCAAGGACAAAGTTGGTTTACTTTGTTTCTTTTGCGAAACTTCTCCAAAACAGATATCGTGCATTTAAACAGCGAAATGAGAGTACATGTGTTAAAACGCAAAAAACATAATATGATGCAATGTTTGTTTGCTTTTATTGTCATTACTTTCATAGGGGGTGCCACTTTCTCTTTCCTATCTCTTTTTTTTATTAGCAAAAGAAAGGTTTTTCTTTTTCTTTACAACAAAAACGAGTAAAGATATAATATAGATCCTTTCTTTTCTAAGAAAACACATATCCACCTCTATACTTCCTCTTTTATTTTCTTTTTTCTTCTCCACACACACAAAAAGATTTTTTCCTTTTCTGCTGATTATGTCAGAGAACCATTCAGCCATAATATAATATTTTGACATGAGTTTGAATAAGCTATTAATGAAGTCGACTTACAATTTGTGAGTAAGAAAAAACCGCATCAGCAATAAAAAAACAGTACATGACAACACGTGCACACAGATCATTTCAGTGTTTAACGAGCGGTGAATTTCCTACTAATTGTGATGCTGTCTAACTATAAGTTTTTGAACGTACTTCAGTGTTCGTTAAAGGAACGAGTCATTGACATTTTTTTGTGATAGACGTGTTGGAATTTAAGAAATGTGTGATGTTTCTTTATCTGTCTTCATATTGAAAGAAAAGCTTATAAGTTGAGGCAGCTGTTGACAATTCTTCTACCAATTTTGCGAACTAAATCCTTGTACATGGACGTTGATGGAATAGAGGAAGACTCTCTGTGAAGAGTTTTTATTTACTACTCTCTTCTCTTAACGTAAAATCAAAGTGGTAACAGGTCTACTTTGTTCCTTTTGCGAAACGTTTTCAAAAAAGATCGTGTATTTAAACAAAGAAATCGAGGCACATAGATTCAATATTCACAGAGAAATGGTCTACTAAGGGAGGGTATATATTGCAATAAACTTGAGTCAAAAAGCTTGTGTACTCTATAAGTTTGTGATACACATCTTTTATTTTTTTAAAGGGAGAAAATATAAACACATTTCAGTTGATTTTTTCCAGCTCATCGTCTATACTACTTTGTAGTATAGAAATTAATCATTATTTACGACAAAAGCATTTTCTCGTTCTTTTTTTCGTACTTTTTTGCATTTTTCATATCGTAGTGACGTACAAAATAAGCATGTTTTAGAATGGCAATGTAGATAAACTATTCTTTTATATGAGTACTCTATATTTCGAAAATTAAAATACATTCATATTAATAGTTTGCACTGCTAGCACAGTAAATATAGATTTGACGACGATTTATCAATTATCAATCCTGTTTATCTGCTGCGAATGTGTATCAGATAATAAGGATTGATTAGAATAAGGTCTCATATAACTAGCAAAATATTTGTAATAAGGTATTCTGACTTATCAGTACACAATACAAAATAGTGAAAAGGTCACCAACGTCAGCACTTCGTGAAACTCTATATGTACTATCTACTTTTATGGTATGTTGTCTTAAAAACTGAGAAAAATTTTGTCGACCAAGGAATACTTTAGCAAATCTATTTCATTCCATTACAGATGTATTACACAATAATCACTAACACCTACTTCATCATTTCAGATAGATATGACTACTACAACTGATTACAGCAATCAGGAATTCGTTTTCGTTCGATACTCAGCCTGTGAGGAAGATGGCTCATGTTTATTCGATACAATACGAAAAATTATCAACAACGGTTTGACAATACAAGACTATAGAAATTTAGCAGCAGAAAAACTAAAAAAGAAGTATTCATCAGATGTCGAAATCAACGGCAGACCGCGTGATGAATATTGTCAATTCATTACACAAAAAGGATCTTGGGGTGGTGCAGATGACTTACAAATATTCGCTGAACACTTTTTAATTGATTTTCGCGTTTTAATTTTGACAGATGCAAGAATTACAAGTGTTCAATCATTTGGTGAACATTTAAATAATTTAATAGGGTTTGCATATTTATTGTATGATTGTGACAAAAAACATTACGACCCATTGATTTTATTTAAAACTGATGGAACCCTCATTGGTACAGTATTTGAAAATAATTCGTCTAATTACATTGAATCGATACTTCAAGATACATTTATCCACAGAATTAATTCGACAGGTATGCGACGTTGATTTTTTGGAAATTTTTTAAATTTTATCTCTATTATTTAGGCATTATACCAACGGCATCTTGTTTTAAACTATCAGAAATTTACAGCAGTAATGGTTAGTAGCAGCATCTTCATTCAGTTAATTTCCTACGTAATCTTATGTTGTCTATTTTTAGCACAAAATAACATAGTACAAAATAATTCAATTGTTTATGACAGTCAGTCAAATGGTAATAAGATGAGAGTTTTGTTTTGATAAAGCACATGACACAATAAAAGTGAAATTTTTCTTTTTTTCTAGGATGTCAAAATGAACAGTATTTAGTATATTACAATTCATTAGCAGTACCGATTAGATCTGGTAGGTACTAGTCCACGGAGATGTATCTTTATTATGCCTTACTTTCATATTTTTTAGAAGAACATGTGTTTCAATCATCGCCAACCGTTCCTCACCCAATCGTTACTCAGATTGAAGGTTGCTTAATATTTTCATGTCATCTAGGATTAAATCAGTTTCTATATTCTTTTTCTAGATGGTAATGAAAGCAATATTATAATGGCTGAAGATGTTCGGCACGGTTTTTTGAATTATGACCAGGAATTTACCTCACTTCAACGAGAAATAAATCAGTTATTGAAGTGGTTTGAACCTATTATAAAATTTGGAAGAGTTTCGCCTGGTCAGTCGTGTGCTGAAACTCTTGGTTTACTGACGCTTATTTCTTTCTTTTTTGATAGAAATGAACAATTTGATAAAATTTTCTAGTGGGCCCGTGAATTTTAATGCTACGCCGGAAAATATGTACAAGCAGTTAGCAACACGAGTTTATACTCTGCTAGAAATTGCAAACAATAGTATTTCTGCTGGTAAGAATTAAAACAGTCTGTGGATTACTTTTTTCATTACACACACTACTTTATTTGAAGTCAGTTTTACTTTATCTCGTAGAAAATAAGGTTTATTTATTCAATTTATTCAACCACTGAAGAAGATATTTAAAACATTGAAACGTTTGAATTGAATAAATAAATCTTATTTTCTACGAGATAAAGTAAAACTAACTTCAAATATACAACAAACTCGTAAAAACCGCTTACAAACATCCTGCAATACTTTTGTTTTAGAATCACCTCTGGTTGTTGAAAGAAATGATACTGATAATTATGTAGAAGCAAATGATTGGAATATGGGAAATGTGGATGGTACATATCAGCGGAAAACATGAAGCAATGATGTATTTTTCTTTTTTTTTTATTAGAAGCGATGGAACAACAAGAATTTACAAATTCAGAACATATTGTTCTACAACCTTCACAGGAACAAACAATATTCTCTTCACAAGCAACTGTTGGTGGGTATAAAATTCTAGGTGACCGTAACAATAGTATCTAAATTGTACGTTTGTATTCAAATTTTATAGCTGATTTATCATCTACTAATAGCTGTTTCATGCCTGAAGGACCTGAAATAATAGATCAACCGAATCGGTACCAGTATGCAAAATATCTGTCCGATCTCGCACGTCATGGTACTTTTGAAAAAAGCTTTTTTCAAAATGTTCAGTCTGGTCCTAACGAACGTGGATCGCCGGGAACAACGGTAATATTGGCCAAAAGCCGTACACATCATGTACGTTTTCTGTTTGTTTTATTTTCTGATTATAGATAAAAACCGAATGGCAAGGATTGTATATGGAAGCTGCAATGTGTACACATGATGAGAAAGATCATCCATCTAGACTAATACCAGAACATTCGAAAAAAGATGCAAATGATAAATTAATAATACCTACACATCCTGATGTTATCGCTGATGTAATTCAAAAACCCATTCGGTTTTTAATAACGCGTGATGATTGTGTCAACGGCAAAAAACAGTAATAGAACAGAATTGATAATCAGTCTATTTTAAAAAATAATATTTCCTACTTGTAGATATCTAATGAAATTATTAAGATTGAAACTAAATCCTCCACATCTCACAAAAAAATGATCATAGATGGAAAATTAAACGTAGCTAGAATAGCATTTACAGTTTGTGAAAGAGTGACTGATGAATTGTTTGTTGCACGTACAAAAACAACATATAGTAGTTTGATGAAATTAGGTATGTGTTGATCGTTTTTTTTCTAAAATGAAATTGCGAACAGAGAGATAGATGAATTCTGTAAAACCAAAAAAAAAAAATGATAACACATAGTACCATTTTTATCAGGATTTGGTGAACCAATGCCTGGTGAAATAACAAAAAGATATCTTTGTGATTATGGTGGAGAAAAAATTGAAATACCATTTAGTGGAGGCAGAATAACAAAAGCAGGTAAAATATAACTGACTTCACTCTCTTAGTAAGTATTTTCTCAACAAGTGTCTACCATTTTTTTTCTAGATTTTGAATTATGGCTTAATGGAAAGAAATTGGATAGAAAAAATTTTAAAAAACCAAAAAATAGCATTTTACTTCAGTCACCTGCACAAACGAGCAACGAACAACGTGGTGTACATATTTTGTTACGAAGAGAAAATCTCTGTGATTCCGTAGAAAAAAAAAGTATCGTATATGATGACGTTGTTAACATAGAAATACCTTATGTAAAACATCAAGGTAATGATATATGATTTTTTCCAGTTCTACTGGATGACGTCAATTATTTTCTGTTTTCTTTCAGTGCACCCAAAACGTCGGCACATATGTAACTACAGAAAAAATACTCAAGTAAGTAGAAAGAAACGAACAAAAACGGCAAAACTCTCACCAGAACAATGATGTAAAAAAAAAAATCTACAATACAGAATATTCCATTTATCAAAAAACCAACAATTTTTCTTCAACAAATCTAAATATCTTTTTTTATTAGATTTTTTTTAGTATACAACTGTTTTCAATAAAAAATGAACGGTTATTCAGTGTTTTGAGACATTAAATGATCCCATACAGTACTAAACGAACTGATGATATTATGTCGTTTTATTTTATGTCATTGGAACTTCTGTCCAAAATAAACGATATTCACGCTTGTGTTGTTCGTAGATAATATCTTGTAGTGATACCATGTAGTACGAACAATAAAAAAAACTGCTAGAATCTAGAAGTGTGAGGGACCGTAACTTTTCAAAAACATTTTATAGACTACTGTAGACGGAAACTCAGACCACAACATTTTTTTGTATTTCGAGAAATTTCACAGTCCAGAACGAAGATCAAAAATCTCAGTTCTAACAGAGACACAAGAATATTATTTCTACCTCGTTGGACCACAATGACGGTTAAAACAGACGATTTTAAAGTACTATTCATAGTGCCCAGTTTGTCAATTAGATTGTAATTGTGTTTATAGCCTGCGATCTAATATCCTAACTTCCAAAACATAACGTCTTTACACTTTTATTCTTTTTAAGAAAATAATCACATTTATATTCAACTTACCGCATGATTCTTATCAAACACAATCCACTCTTCTTTTTTTCTTAACTGACCGAAAACATTTTTGTATGGTAAAAGAAATTTTTTCTTTGCTGTGCATCATACACTTATATAGAGAAAGTAAATAGGAAAAAACGATGTAAAGAAAACCTTGCCTTTTCTACCATAAAAAGAAAGGAAGTATGTTGCTGTTCTCTCATACACATGTAAGTTAAAAAAATGTTCTTTTCCATTTAGATAAAAAGCAAAAACAATCCTTTTCAGGTGGAAAGAACCAAGAATTTAGACATTTTTCACACTGAATAATATTTATTTTGCGTTAGCGTAGTTTTTCGAGGAGAAAAGCCAACCAATCAGTGACTGACAACATGAAAAATATATTATGACAGAAAGGAATTACATGTACTACGATTGATACCTTCCATCTGTTGGCAGTGTGGCATCATTCTTGTTCTGTTCTGGTGAACATAAAGTACTGGAAATTCAAAATTTGAGCAGATTTTGTTTTTCCTTTATTTAGACATGATTGGATAGAGCGCATCAAGATGAGTGTAAAAAAGTGGTTTTTAGTTTTTCTAAAATAGTATTTTCGAGAGAAAAAATTTCACAATACTCAAGTATCGTAAAATCGTTAAAAAATGACTCCATTTTGTTTACATTAAACCTTTGTTTTTATGTTCTTTTGAACGTCCTAAACTAGTTTTTTCAGATTCAGCATAACTGGATGTAAGAAAATATGCTGGATAATTTCCAACAAAAAAACCGGTTCATCGCGGGTACTTCCGCACGGATCAGCCCACTTTATACTCGACTTAAAGCCGGGAAGGTTTGACTATATGCAATCGATAGCCCTACTAAAGGTATGTACAGAGTCCTGTCGCCTCATGGAAAAATTATTCCGAACACAGATTTTCCTTAGCCATAAGTTCTGAACTGAAGCATTTTTAGGAGTGCCAGGATAGCAAAATCTGACCTTATCTAATACTATCAAGTGTTCTCATACTGCTAGCTGGAAAGAGTATACAAAGTTGCATATTTCTATCCGAAAATGTGGCCTCCTCTGACATTGTGACTCATCTGGCAAAATCTTGACATGAATCTTGGAGAAACAAAGCCTGAAAGAAAGGCCTAAATAAAGGATAAACAAATGAAAAATGTTGACAATGAACTACTAATAACATGTCTAAGAGTGTAAAATAGATTCATACCTAAAATGTTATGAAGTTTGGAAGAACAACACTAGTATATCACAGTAACTGATTTAACCTTGAGTAGAAGGAAATAACATGTTTCCTACTTTCACTCTGCCATGATAATATATATCAACGCTTCACATTTCACTATATATCGTTTGATACTCGTAAATAAAATTGAAAATGATATTGCCAACTTTTTAGTTAACCCTTTACCCCCACAGCGGTTCCAGAAGAGCCACTGATGAAACAACTGCTGGAATAGAGTGCTGGTGTCTCCAATATGGCAATAGTATGGACAGATCGGTCAGGCGCACTCTCGTTTGTGCAGAGTAGTTTGGTTACTCCAGTGACCATTGGGGGGGGGGGGAATGCCGTGAAAAAGGCCATTTTTGG